ATGATGAATTAGATGTCAAATACACATATATATTTAATAAACTACATTTGGACAACTTTCATTGTTGTCAGAATAAAATCTATTAGAATTGCGTCTAAGCGAAATGCCTGCTACAAATAGATGTAAAGAAACCTCTAATTTTGTAAAAGAAATGCCAAATAACACATCTACATAACTGTATACGTAAACTGCCTAAACATTCCTTAGGAAACTGTGTGAATATAGTTCATCAACGAATGCAACTTTTACATATTTAGTGAATATTTCAGAATAAACCCCCAAGAAAGTTTAAAACTTGAATAGGTAGTAGATACTTTTATATGCTTTAGTCTATTACCTGAATAGTTTTCAGACGCACATTCATGTGTCAAAACACGAACTGCAATTTGGACAGCATTTGATGACGGATTCATAGGGTATGTTACTAAGTGGCCATAGGAAGTACAAGGGTCTGAAGCCCCAAAGTACCAGAACTAGCCTTCGTACTGCTTACCTTTGAAAACAAAATATATGATGCATTCACGACAGTAGAATGACGAGCAGTTCCGAGTTGTTGTTGTTGTTGACAATCATATCTAAGAGACTAACCATGGTGCTCATATTGAAGTGGGCAGGTACGACTTATATCATTGTAGGCAAGTGATGTAAATGCAGCGGAACTTTCATTATTCGGAAATGGAATTTGAAGGACGCATTCTGAGGCCTTGTAGTACTCGTGAAACTCAAGGAAACTCCATGTGAACTGGACGAACTTACATAGTTATTGTCTGCATGTATAGGTCTAACGAAGGGCCTCTCTAACATTTCATCTGGAGAGTGTTTAGCTGGTTGTGCATAAGGAGAAAAGGAAAATGCACTATTTGAACGATCAGTATCAGTTAAATCTGAAGAAACTAAAACGTTTACTGAACAAAGTCCGTCGGAACAGTCACGAGAGCTACTTTTTTCACTTGGCATTGACGGTAATTCAAACGATCCCCGAGAAGAAACTTCTTTACCAGGTGTTTTGAAAGAAGATTGTGATGACCTTTGAAGTGACTCATCATGAGTTGATTTAGCAAAAGGATAAAAAATTTTTGCCACACAACTGATCGTCATTACTGTTTGTTGAACACGAAATAAGAGGTGTAAGTTGGTATACGTTATTTACTGAGACAGAACAGGCGTCATTCGAATGTCCAAAGACGTCTAAAACAGTTGTCACGTATCAGTAACATTGAATGGATCAAAAGCATCGATTAGAATGACAGTTGAGATCATTACAGCAGGAAATTAGGAATATATATGTCTACATGGTGAGAAGAAGCTAAATACATGAAGAGAGATAGGAGGAAATGAAATCTAAATTTATAACTGTTTCATTCTCTGCTTTGGTTCCCAGTAGCACACATCTATGTTACTTCTTTCTCTACTGTCTTTTTCATCTGACTGTTAGGTTTCCCTCAGGGTTTTGATTCCTCTTCATAGGACTTTCTCTATGCAACCCTCGAAATCACAACTAGTTGCTTCCCGTTTGGATAGCATTCAACACCTTGGCTAACATGTGATTTCACTACATTTCCTTCTGAATATTTTTTGAATAATAGATCTTCAGTGATTAGCTACCTTCCAAAGTTCTTTGCTGATTATCCCCTCCGCTCAGCTCTGTTGTCTTCAGTATACGAAGAGAACAACTGTTGATGAAAGTATACAGCTTGTTTTAAATGCCATCTGTGATGTGTGCGCAAATCTTCTCGAATATATAGAAGCACTGAAATGACATTAATGTTCAAAACTCAGGTCTTGTTCCCTGTTCAATGTGCTGTAGATCTCCACACTGATTTTAAAATAACGAAAACCTATCTTGATTTCTCGATCCCAACGTGGCTCGCTTTCACATCTTAATTCGTGACACCTATGGTCAAAGCTATGCTGCCAAGAGGAATTCAAAGAGAAGACTCCCTTTAAATACTTTCCATTGATGGTAAGTGGTGTTTGCCTATGTTGTTGTGGGTTGGGTATCTTCATCACCTCTATCTTCTTCATGTACACTTAAAATCCTATCATAGGTGCCACTGCCAACCACTTGGTTTTCAGCTGGACGAGACTTAATTCGTCCAAGAAATCCGAATGTTTTAGTGTCTTTTTGTCAGTTCAAAGTATAAACGTCTTCTCTGTCTCCATGGGCCTTCGCATTATCTAACCTATGGAAGTCAGTAAAAACTATCCGCAACAGTAAGGAATACACAAATGAAATAACATCATTTTCGAAAACTCTCATGGTTATTTTAGTTATTTAATTGTTAATTAAACTTGTCATATTGATTTGGAGGACTGTATATACTAATTACTGGATGGTGCCTAACTCAATAACATTTATATAAGCTAGTGTATCTATGCAGATGCAGAAAATCTAGAGAACCAATAAAATTTTAGGGCAAAATAAGCAAAATTTGAAATTGAAAGAATTCTTTGCACACATTATAAGGATTTGTAGAGGCCTTATACGTATATATATGATTTCTCAACGTCATAGCATATTTTTTGATGCTCACTGAATCAGTCGCAGACAACTAGATGGAGTCTCTTTCACCTTTAATGTTTATCAAACTTTCTTCTTCATTCCTTTAGTTCCATGCTGAACTTAGGACTGTAGGCTTTATGTTACAGTACTGTTGGTATTGTTTTTGTCGGGTAAAATTCTTAAGCTCACCCAAACGTCCACCTTTTCCCAAGTTACCAAAGGCTAAGAGATGTCTAGGAGTGAGTCGGCCAGGAATCGAACCCTCAGCTCCTGTGTTTCTGACTAGCATTCTACTGCTGAACTCTCGACACACATGGTTTACTGCGTAGTATTCATTAGGCAAGAAATTAGCATACAATTATTACAGCGAAAATCAAGTGTCAGATATGAAGGTAACGCAAATCGAATTCAGACTGAATCTGCTTTTCCAAGAACGCAAGAGTTTGTAAATTAATCGTTTGTCCCCCTGAATGTTTTTTGTAATGTTGACAGAATCTTGTTTCCATATGCATTTCGCTAATTTGTCGCCCAGGTGGATCTGCGAAAACAGCATTTTTACTAGAGACAGAGAATACTTCAGATATGAGTATTGTATTCCTCATAAAGGTTTCAACTTATTTTTCCAAATTACAGAAGGGTATTGATTTAAAAGTCAAAGCTTCACATAAACAATCATCAACTATAGTACACATGACTAGGAACAAAGCGACACCACAATCTGGACGCTTAAGGTTTTGTTACACCTTTGATTTTGCAAAAGGTTAGGCTGAGACTAGGTTGCGTCATATTTTTAGTGGATTCGCCAGTATCAAAAGAAACTGATGTTAAATAATTTAAGGATTCTCCAGAAAGTACTTGAACGAATTTCCGTGACTATTTTTAAATACAGCGGCTAAAATTTCCAGAAATCTAAGACTTACCTACATTTTTATCATTCTTATCCGTAGAATTCCAAAGGGAATATACGATTTCAACAGAAAGTCTCCATTTTACTCTGTTTTCTGTAGTCCTTTTTATCTGGCTCCACGATTGATCAAAAGCTTTCATTTCCTCCATGTTATCCCTGGAAGACCTGTCGTTTCCCATTCAGTCTTCCCACTAGTTCCTGCCGCGTCATATCATTCATCATTTTAACTGCAGGCGGACGGAACTAATGAGGATATCAAAGCGAGGACAGAAAAAACAAGACAAGCTTTCATTACTCTAAAGTCTGGGGGGAGATCAACAAATGAAAATAAGATCCGGATTTTCAACTCCAATGTGACATCAGTGCTACTATACGGATCAGAGACTTGGCGCGTCACGAAAGGCATTTCGAACAAACCACAGACCTTCATCAGCAGTTGTCTTCGCTCAATACTGCTCAAGCTCAAATGGCCAGAAAGGATCAGCAACAGGGAGAGATCTCTGGCAATGAACGAACCAACCAGGAACCAACTGTGCATCAAATATGCAGAAAGACATGGAGGTGGATTGGCCATGCTCTTAGAAAACAAATCATCGGGTGACATCACACGATAGGCTCTTGAGTGGAACCTGAACGGGAAGTGGTGTGTTGGTCACCCAAGGATGACATTGAAGAGGTCATGTGAAGAGAAGATGAAAGCAGGTGGGCAGACGTTGAGCCAGGTGAAAACGTTAGCTGAGAACCGAACGCAATGGAGCTATGCAGCTGAAGCCCTATGTTTCTCTAGGAACTAAAGGAGACAATAATAATAAATAATATGGTAGTTGAAGCTTGACAATTCATCTAGACACTAGTTGACAATTATAACCCACGAGTATAGACTTTTTCTCACATATTTACTATCCTTTAGACAAAACACTATGATTAGTTTATATTTGAATTTTTATTTGTAAAGTTTTGCTGTATATTGGAATTAAACCTGATGAGATCCTATCAAAGTGTCTTAATTACACTTCTTCTGTAAAACAATCACAAAATCATCAGACATATGCATAATAGATTTGTCATTCATTGTGTATCACTGCCAAGACATTTACATATACAAAATTATGAAATTAATAAAATGATACCTTATCACACAATATTTAGTCAAAATTCAATTTGAGTCACTATGGAAAAAAACATCTTCAAAGTAGTGTATTCAGTAATCTTGACACATTCGCGTCAGTTACACGTACACTTTATCACTCCTCAACACAAATGCCTACATACACACACAAAATATTAACATAACGTTCAAGAACAATTTAGGGTTATTATACACGTCGCATATCATGTGTTGGTTTCATGTGGTTTCAAAGACAAGGTGAATAACGTCACACACACACACATACTCGTCTGCTTTGAAAAAAAGAGAGTAAAACTTTTAGCTAAACCTGTTATTCATATTCCTGCACCAGTATAAATATCTCTCTTTCTCTAAATTTCCATAATACTAACTCAAAATCGCAAACAGATAAAAAATAACCTAATATCAAGTATGAGTGATTCACGTGACAGACAGAGTTTTTCCAAGAAGTACGAAGATGCTCTGAACAAACAGATCAACATGGAACTGCAGGCTGCATACGACTACATGGCTTTCTTCACCTACTTCGATCGAGATGATATCGCCTTCCCGAAAGCTGCTGAATTCTTCCGAAAGGCATCACATGAAGAACGTGAGCACGCTGAGAAATTGGCGAAATATGTGAACAAGCGTGGTGGTCGTGTTCAGTACAATGGTCTTAAGGTCGATCCAGTACGAAGTTCTCAAGTATTAAGGATGCAATGAAAACAGCTCTTGATACACAGAGGGAAGTAAGTGAGGTGAGTCGTGTATGCAGATAGGTGTCTTCCTAGTACTTCGTATACAAATCAAATATTTATTTGTTTGATTGCATGCATTTTACACTTGACAGCTTTTAGTGATGCTATTTATTACTTCCTTATTACTTGAATTCGTATTGAGAGCAGTAAGATTTTTCTTAAAATTACATTCACGCCACTCACTTCATTATAACTGATTTTAGCCACACGTTGAGTAGCTAGAAAATCATTTTGAGTAGCTTTCAACCAAGATTAATTTAAAGAATTTGCATCATAATGAATGAGGCCATCAGTCTGACTTGCAGTTGTACTATAGCCAGTTGGCATATGGTGTGAATGGTGGAAGGTGTTCATCTGTCCTTGAGGAATTATTGTGTCAGGACATTGTGTGCACCTTGTCGAAAGATAAATAACTCTCCACATCTGGTTAGATCTCATGTATGAAACAACTTATCTTAAGAGCTTATGAGACTCGCAATCTAAAATCTCTTAGTTATGGGAAATAAAAGCTATCCATCGGCATCAAAGATTTAAATTTAAATGAGGAGCATTATGTCATCATAGAATATTTCTATTCGATAAAAACATACAGGGATACTGGATTATTTACTGATGACACTTCGATCACAATCGTTGCTCGTTATCCTATCAAGGTGCCCACATAAATTTCAAGCTTTTGTTTGCATAAATGAATGCAAGGGTATCTCAAGCTTGGAATGTTCTAAGTACAGTCACGTATTATACCGACTATCTTAAAACGTTTACGTGGTTTATTTTCCGCTACAGTCTGAATTGTGTCGCTCACTTCTTCTCTTTCATAAAGGCAGGTAGAAGCGTAAAACATAGTAATCTGAACTTGACATGGCGATAAGAAATAACTACTCACCTAAATTGACTGAAATCGGCATCAACTATTTTCATGGTGTCTGCTAAGTGGTTCTCAATTTGAACAACTTCAGTGCAGAGCAGATTCAGGTAGTCAGATGATACGAAACTCTCCACGATCTTGCTACAAATCCATTTGTAACAAGAATACATAATGCTGGCTATCCATTTATTGACATAGCATAACTTCAACGTTAATTTGACGCATTCAATAAAAAGGATAGTAGCTTTAAGTGATGAATGTACAGCTGTCACATTCCAATTTATCCTTCAATTATTTAAATCTCACCATGCAGTAGGTACTGCATATACCAGCGATTAGAGATTGTAACTCAGACTAGATGACGCCTTAAATGCCAACTTACCAACCGGTAGGAATCATGGTATCATCTGTTAGACTTTTCTCTGAAAACCACTTAAATTTCTGGGTAAATAACCTAATGTTGCCAATTTCTTTTTCAAATCGTTCATAGTCACGACTGAAATTACGCTCAGTGGCAGCGAAGAATAATGATTCAGCACTGACAGATCTTCTTGAAAGCGAGTTCCTGCATGAACAAGAAGATGCAATCAAACAATTCGCCGACTGTATCACACAGACAAAGAGAGTTGGCAGTGGACTTGGTGAATATTTGTTCGACAAGCTGACACTAAATGAATGAATGAAAATTATTTGTACACCACTGACATTATTAATGGTGTGCACAATTTTTTATTTTTTAAGTATTGTGATTTGTAAATACATTGATATATTATTCCATGTCCATTTTTTTCTTTCTTGAGACCTGATGACTGTTTCAATATTAAAATGGAGTTATGAAGCCAGTATACGCTGAGTGAAGCATTTGGTATATTGTTCCTAAATAACAGCTGTATGGGAAGGTACATAACACCAAATCATTCAGAGTTTTTGCTGCCATTTATTCTAGTGACGGTTATTTCCGTTTAGAACAACTGTATTCCAAAAGCTGAGGTTAATGATTCTTTTTCAGTCATAAATTATTTTCACTTCAGAAATTTAAGGACAGTTTGTGGACAGAGAAAAGAGTACCTTTGATTTTGCTCTAAATTTGAATGCAACACCCTATAGCAAAGGAAGGGATTACATATCCCCGGTTGCGTATATTTTGCTTTATTTAAGGCAGACATATACAGGCAGAACAAAATGAAAGTTAAAGTCATTAACTAAACTTCTGACATACAAGCTATATGGTTTCAGATTACATTTGTGGTTGGGCTTCACAGCCGAAATTATTATCAAAGTGGTGTATGAAATGAATCGGAATCATGTTTGGTAAACTAACGGATAACAAATTTGATGGAAGCGGTTATTCTAAGCTGATAAAGATAGGGTCGCTGTTTTTAGTGCGAACAACCACAAGATACAATAACGTCAGTCAACATCAAATATTTTTGTTTCAGCATTTCAAGCGGGTTTTATTCCCTTTCAATTGTTTACTCATACAGATCAAATAACAGTCGTCTTAATGTGACTACGTTCTTTCAAAATGCCGAGGGTAATACAAATGTCTGATACGGGGATGAAGTAAACAATAGTTATGCAAGTGGATTACAGACAGGAGCGTCACTGACAGTTAAATACATTAATGAATATCAGTTTTAAATGATTGAAATAACTAGGATTACGAGATTGATGTTGTATAATGTTCTCTGAGTATAGTTGTCTGGAAGGATATCACCGTCTGTGTCAATGCAAGGGAATGGACAATGTGGTAGAGTATATTTCCACAATGGAATGATTTTTTGGACATGTATAGTGATGCAGTACTACATGGTCACCGTTTATTTATAACGCAGTAACCAAGTTATCCCTAACCACTTAGAGTCTTATCACAAAAAGTTATTCTGTTATGAGCTAGTATCGATGAAAGTATGAAAGAAGCTTCAAAACAATTATCTTACTAGATACTTAATTTGAGCATTAAAATTCAGACGTTAAATTACATTCACTTATAGGAGGAATATGTATCCTGATGGAAGTACGTACCCTAAAATCCGTGACAGAATCTGTTATCATTCACGTCAGTATTATCTGTACTTAAAGTGTCCAACTCTTCTAAATAATGTACTTCAGAAACCTAAATTTTGAGATAAGTTTGGAATTAAAAATGTTGACGGTATCACTATCCGAGAATATTTGTATGTGCCTTGCCTATCTAAAATAAACTAGCTCCACTGGAAATATACTCACGATAACATCTGAATACATCGTTTCAAAATGAAGCTTATTTATAGTCAGGCGAATCTTATCTACAGTTGTCAATAATCCATGAAAATTTCTCGTTAATAAAATGCAGAGCGGAGGAATTCAACAATATGATGAGATGTCATTTGAAAACACTTCATATATCCAAAGTTTGCAATGAGAACGCTAAGTTGAATTGTAATATGTAGCCGAAAGAAATTGCTGTTTCTTTCACAGTTAAGTTAGGAGTAATGTCCCCCTATGTAAAACACTGACGGATATTTCTTACCGTCATACAAATTCTAAATTCTAAAGCAATAGCGGTGCAATAAGAAGTGCGATAATTTAACACCTGGTTAACACTGATCATTCCGTCTCAACAGGCGCCTCCTTGAAAGTAATTACAGAGTCACAAGTAACCTACCAAAGGCAATACGGTTTCGTCTTCTTTGTGTCGCTGAAGATCTGGCCATTCACACAGAAAAAACCGGAGCTGTGCATACAAAAAGAACAAGTCAACCACTTCTACCGTCATGGTAACAATTTTGTTGATTTTATTGACTTAATTTTGTTTGTTTGCCTGTTTCTTTAATTGCTTATATTTCTTCTATTCATTTAGAACTCTTACATAATTTCGTATTCTCTTCTTTCTTCCTATGTGTATCCTGAATAAAACTCAACCGTCAAACTATTTATATTATTACATAACTTTTTAAACAACTGTTTATGACAACTCATCACCTTTGTTACTGCCCTAATTTCATTAACACCCAATTTTCTCGACTGATTTTGTATGACGCAACTCCAACAACCAATCTTCAATTGTTTAGTTAAAAAAATCATATTCACACCTACTTTTGATTGACAAACTTAATGTACACATACATACAAAATTCTAAATCTGTCAAGCCATATATATTATTTAAAGAAATTGATGATATCCACAGACTTAGAAGAAACCCTATCGAATAACAATTTATTCCAAGTGCACAAACATTAAAGTCATACTTAAAGATGAACGCTTCACCAGGCAGAATTTCTTGCAGTGGCATTTACCTTCATGAACGACTGGCTCCTAAAAGCACATATCCATCAATTGTGCACATTCTACATTCAGTATTCTTACCAAAATATGAAAGAATTTTTTATTGAGTTCCTTTCTTGTTTTCACTAATCCACGTACATTCTTATATCATTTCACCCAATTAAACAACTCGGAAAGTAGTAATTTGTCTTGCAAATAATTTCACCCAGCAACTAAAAGTTAAACCTCATACACTTCACTAGGCAGTATCATATGATGATACCTCCAATTCTCCAATCCCATGTCATTCTTAAAAATTATAACATATTTTGTTTTCATACACATTTCCTTATAATGAATGGCCTGTTGACTAATTATTTCAACAGCACAGTACCTCATTAGGTAGTGTGCACATTTAATATTTCAGCATCACTCATTCAATATCACGTACGAATCTCAGAGAATCCTTATTCATTCTAATACACATCACAGATCTCCATTGCAAATTTATCGGTAAAATGCATAAAACAGAGAATTGTATGAAGAAATCTTATTGAAAAGGTGAAACGAAAAAACACATTAGAAACACTCTCATAGTTGAATCACGTGTTATCGGCTTTCCCTAACAGTTATGGAACCAAGAACAAGCAGAAATCTGCACTTTGAGTGGGACGTGTTCATTTGAAGTAGTTCAATAGAAATGTTGAAATTGCATTCCAAAATCAAGTGTCACAAATTGAAATCTCTTCCTGTGAAGCGATTCCGAAAGTAAGACGAACAAGAAGGAAGCGAAAAGACTTGATCAGTAACACAACACATCAAAAAACACCACAAAATACCAATATCGTTCTATTCAAACACACAATGAAACTATCAAAGCATCAGTAATCAGAATACATAGGTGACTGAGACACTTGAATAACAACAATTAACCACAAAAATATAATTTATAATTTATGAAAAATCTCACACATTTAGAGTATTATGAAAATAAAAAATAGTAATTTTTATTACCATCTGAGCTGTGTCTAATATGGTGCATAGTGCACAACTGTTTACTGTAGGAGACGTGTAGGAGACTCAGACAACCACAACAATCACACATTGTACACTGATGAAATGAAAATCCAGCCAGTCAGCCAGCCAGCCAGCCAATCGAAAAAGCGAAACACGATTATGAAAAGACGTGAAAGCAGAAAGCATATTCTGTGTTTCATTCAATTCAGGCTACAGTTTCACCAATCACATCAGCTGACAACCCACACACACATACAGTCACACTCACACTAGATTGCACAACACATTGTTCAACACACTACACCCTCATGCACACATCACACAGACACACACACGAAAACACAAGCACAACTGATTACTGGTTTTCATAATAAACGCTCAACACAATTTGTTTGTTTCACATATTTGATCATGCGTGGATTGAGCCACACACACACACACTCACGTCTGATCCGAATAAGATAAAAGGAGCACTCGAATTCCACTCACTTCATTCATATCCAGGTGAACCAGTGACAAATACAACGCCGATCCCCGAAACACTACAACTCAAATAACTCACCTCAGACGAAATCATGAGTGGATCACGAGCTAGACAGAATTTCGCCAAGGAATGTGAAGATGCTCTGAACAAACAGATCAACATGGAACTGCAAGCTGCATACGACTACATGGCTTTCTTCACCTACTTCGATCGAGATGATGTCGCCTTCCCGAGAGCTGCTGAATTCTTCCGAAAGGCATCACATGAAGAACGTGAACACGCTGAGAAATTGGCGAAGTATGTTAACAAGCGTGGTGGTCGTGTCCAGTACAGCGATATCAAGACTCCGTGTAAGACGGAGTTCAGTGGTCTGGTGGATGCGATGAATACGGCTCTGGCGATGGAGAAGGCAGTGAATGAGGTAAGTCATACGCACAAACACACATGCACATGCATACATTCATACCTAGTCATGCATACTCCCATATTCCTAGATAAGTTGTTCGTTCAGTTGTGAAAACACCTCATTATGCCTACATTGCTCCCCATATCATACTCCTGAAATGATAGTTTCACACTATATGTAAAATTCTTGATTGAGACTTGATGTATCACTTCAAGTTTCTGGTGACTAAGAGAATTTCCAGGTGTGATGTAAGCGTGCGACACCTAGGCTGGAATACGTTTGCATCCATCATGCCAGTGCAATATGCCGTTGAATTCATTCGGACTGACGACACTATTTAATGACAATCTATATCATTACATGTTCCATCATGAAATCACTACTTGGAATGCCTGAATAAATCTCAGGGAATAAAACCCCAACAGCTTAGGGAGTTTCCTTCATTCCTTTTCTGAGGGATGTTTTATCATGTGCTGCGTTCGCCAACCTCAGACCGTAACACCCGTGTTTATCTGGCTCACTACAGCATGAGGTTTGCGAGTTCGTCGGCTGATGATCAAAGTACAGACCACATTGGTATGAAGGCAATAATTCCACCACCACTGAACCACTGTAGTAATTTCAATGAAGATGCATCACCTGAAAAATCGTGAAGTATGCTTGCATTGGCTCAATCATTTCTGTTTTCAGTAGATCACTCAGTGAATACATCTGATTTCTTGATTTGACATACCAAAAGTAATCACTACTCACAGCCGTATCACTAACTTCAACACAAATCTCATATCTCTATTTCCCACTCTAACTGCCTCTTCTTCTCACACACATCATAACGAAATTAAAACATCACGGTTATTCGAGACAGCTGGTCATTCCTTCCTCACTCTCACTGATTCGATACATAATAACACACAACACAATGTATCACTGTCCGAATCATTCCATGTCTATCTGTGTGTGTTTTCCTCCCATCCTTAGTCACTGTTGAAACTCCATGATGTCGCTTCGAGGAACAACGATCCAGCACTCACTGACTTCATCGAGAGTGAATATCTGCACGAGCAAGAACAAGCCATCAAACAATTCGCCGACTATGTGACACAAACGAAGAGAGTTGGCAGTGGACTTGGTGAATATCTCTTCGACAAGCTGACATTGTCCGACTGAATTTCAAATCTCTTTCACCTCATAATCGCATCACCCATCCTTATTTTGATATTTGTTATTTTCCTTCATGCATTCATTCTGAAAATAAATTTCATCACACTACTCCTCTCGTCTTTCTCACTCGCTGATGACGTGTATATTCTCAGTGGTAGAATACTGGATGATGTAGTTTGAGTGTCGTTGATGTTCATTGAGTGACTGAGATTGTGATGTTTGTGCGTGAAGTGGTCATGTGAACTGGCTGTTTATAACAGTGACTGACTGTGGAATGAATTCCGAATTCGCTGGTGAGTTAGATGTGTAGTAGATGATCCTGTGAATAGACGATGAGCAGCTTTGTTTCACTAGTGATATCCATACTCCGAGTTGACTGGGTGTATTCACTTGAGGTGAAACAGTGACGTGGATTTATGGATAGTGATTGTGAAGAGCAGTACAGTGTGAATGGAGACATACACAATATCTCATGGTATATTCGAACATCTGAGGAGATGACATCTGTTTCGAAATCTATGAAATGTGTTAGTGAGTTGTATGTTGATAGAAATCCCTACCACCGAGTAAGAAATTCGATGACGGTGAGTTAGAAGGTAACATAAAAATGAGGTCATTGAGTGAATATATATCACGGCAAATTGTAATAAAAGGGCACTCCAGTCAACTGACCTCCTTTTCAGCAGTATCATGCTCATTGGCATTTATATGTATACATAGTGATGAATAAATAGTATTGCCTATGACATGGCAAAATTTCAGGCTATTTTTGTTGTAAAGTTTTCAACAAAGACCTGGCGTTTGGTTCACTGTTTACAAACCTGTGACTGCTGGCAAAGACTGCGTCTATAACATGCTCAAGATGCTCTTCAGATTTCGCCTCTAGACGATCACTCAGGTTTTCGAAACTATATCTGGTAGTGAATTTTACAGATATTTAGAATTTTTTGTGCCAGCTCCCGTGAATAGAGATAGTTTCAATAGCTGGAGTGTTAGATTGACCAATACTTTATGTGGGGGATCAACTTTGTTGACGAAATCCATGAATAATCATTTTAGAAAAGAGAGAACACGAAGTTCAGCAAACATATCTCTTCGGCGATTTCATTTTCAAAAGCTGTACAATCGCATTTAAATACATAATTCTGCATAGATACAATTTTACTTGATTTCACATAATTTTGATAATTATTTTCAGCTATGTATGGTATACGAGAGGCTTAGAAACAAAATTATACAGGATTATAACGTATTACAGGCGTATTTAAAGTGAACATGGAAACAAACTGAAAGAATAATCTTAATAATAATAATAATAATAATAACAGCTTTATTCCAGACAGTATTTGTGGTACAGGTATGGAATTTTCAGCGTCCATTACAATATATTGCTTCTAATTGCCTCATAAATTTTATAAGATTTTAAAATCAAAAAGCAACACAGAAAGAATAAATAAAAAATAATAAAAAACAACAGCGTTGAGTTTACATTTTAAACAATGCACTACAGGATATGAAATATAAAATTGGTGTGTGATAGAAGATGAGAACAACAGTGTAATAGTAACGATCACAGTATCATAAGAATATCGCCCAAAGTATATGAAAAGCAGCACAAAAGATTGCCCCAAATTAAATAACGTTCTGTCGTTAATTAGTCAGTGGTCCTCTTCAAACGGTCTTAAGCTTAATCCGTTTAAATGTTAGGTAGTCAATTTCACTTTCAGACGTAAACGTGACCTACAACAACTAGTTAGCTCACATAGTCCCACTATCATTGACGGCATAGAGGTTGAAAATATATCTTATGTCAAGTACCTTGGGCTGAATTTTTCCACCGATCTTTCCTGGTCCTCCCACATCTTGCTAGAAAGATGTTTCGCTTAACATTCTACGTTAGGAAATTTAGGCAGTCTGGCATAAAGCAGTCTTTGCTTTCTCAGTTTTTCAATTCTTGTATTCTACCCACCCCCCTTTACTGCTCCCCATTAATCTTTCCTGGACTACTTAGGAAAGACTTTGCTGTGCTGAGAAAGGCACTAAAAGCCGTTAGTAGGGCAAGTGGGATATCGTTAAACCAACTGGTGAACACTATTGTAGATAGACATATTATGTTATGTAAGAAACTAGCGAATACAATATTGTCAGACCCGAGCATCCTCTACATACGCAGCTGTCTCCTCGCATTTCATCTGGTAGAACTAGAAGCAGCTATAAGAGGGTATATGTCCTATAGCTGCTTCTAGTTCTACCAGATGAAATGCGAGGAGACAGCTGCGTATGTAGAGGATGCTCGGGTCTGACAATATTGTATTCGCTAGTTTCTTACATAACATAATATGTCTATCTACAATAGTGTTCACCAGTTGGTTTAACGATATCCCACTTGCCCTACTAACGGCTTTTAGTGCCTTTCTCAGCACAGCAAAGTCTTTCCTAAGTAGTCCAGGAAAGATTAATGGGGAGCAGTAAAGGGGGGTGGGTAGAATACAAGAATTGAAAAACTGAGAAAGCAAAGACTGCTTTATGCCAGACTGCCTAAATTTCCTAACGTAGAATGTTAAGCGAAACATCTTTCTAGCAAGATGTGGGAGGACCAGGAAAGATCGGTGGAAAAATTCAGCCCAAGGTACTTGACATAAGATATATTTTCAACCTCTATGCCGTCAATGATAGTGGGACTATGTGAGCTAACTAGTTGTTGTAGGTCACGTTTACGTCTGAAAGTGAAATTGACTACCTAACATTTAAACGGATTAAGCTTAAGACCGTTTGAAGAGGACCACTGACTAATTAACGACAGAACGTTATTTAATTTGGGGCAATCTTTTGTGCTGCTTTTCATATACTTTGGGCGATATTCTTATGATACTGTGATCGTTACTATTACACTGTTGTTCTCATCTTCTATCACACACCAATTTTATATTTCATATCCTGTAGTGCATTGTTTAAAATGTAAACTCAACGCTGTTGTTTTTTATTATTTTTTATTTATTCTTTCTGTGTTGCTTTTTGATTTTAAAATCTTATAAAATTTATGAGGCAATTAGAAGCAATATATTGTAATGGACGCTGAAAATTCCATACCTGTACCACAAATACTGTCTGGAATAAAGCTGTTATTATTATTATTATTATTATTAAGATTATTCTTTCAGTTTGTTTCCATGTTCACTTTAAATACGCCTGTAATACGTTATAATCCTGTATAATTTTGTTTCTAAGCCTCTCGTATACCATACATAGCTGAAAATAATTATCAAAATTATGTGAAATCAAGTAAAATTGTATCTATGCAGAATTATGTATTTAAATGCGATTGTACAGCTTTTGAAAATGAAATCGCCGAAGAGATATGTTTGCTGAACTTCGTGTTCTCTCTTTTCTAAAATGATTATTCATGGATTTCGTCAACAAAGTTGATCCCCCACATAAAGTATTGGTCAATCTAACACTCCAGCTATTGAAACTATCTCTATTCACGGGAGCTGGCACAAAAAATTCTAAATATCTGTAAAATTCACTACCAGATATAGTTTCGAAAACCTGAGTGATCGTCTAGAGGCGAAATCTGAAGAGCATCTTGAGCATGTTATAGACGCAGTCTTTGCCAGCAGTCACAGGTTTGTAAACAGTGAACCAAACGCCAGGTCTTTGTTGAAAACTTTACAACAAAAATAGCCTGAAATTTTGCCATGTCATAGGCAATACTATTTATTCATCACTATGTATACATATAAATGCCAATGAGCATGATACTGCTGAAAAGGAGGTCAGTTGACTGGAGTGCCCTTTTATTACAATTTGCCGTGATATATATTCACTCAATGACCTCATTTTTATGTTACCTTCTAACTCACCGTCATCGAATTTCTTACTCGGTGGTAGGGATTTCTATCAACATACAACTCACTAACACATTTCATAGATTTCGAAACAGATGTCATCTCCTCAGATGTTCGAATATACCATGAGATATTGTGTATGTCTCCATTCACACTGTACTGCTCTTCACAATCACTATCCATAAATCCACGTCACTGTTTCACCTCAAGTGAATACACCCAGTCAACTCGG